ATTCTACATCACTGCCTGTTTAGCCCCGCCCATCGATTCTACATCCCTTCCTGATTAGCCCCGCCCACCGATTCGTGCATGTAGTGTTTACGATAGAGGCAATCATGCAGGTTTACGCAGAAACCAAACGATAAAGATGCTCCAAAGACAAGACGTTGTTCAGTGCCAAACTGTGGAAAAACAGTGTTTGCGTTGCCTTCCTTCTGATCCCAACGTTAGGAAAGTGTGGATGAACTTTTTTATTTTTAATTAAGTTCCAGACCGCGTCAGTAAGAACTCGGTCCTTTGTTCACTTCATTTTACAGTGGATTCGTTTACAAACAAGGCACAATTCGACGCAGGGTTTTCAGAAAGATCGAAACTAAAAGACGATGCTGTGTGACAATATTGGATCCAACAGTAATGTCACAACACACAAGTGTTACTGTATTTATTACGTGATCACTTTTGCTTTGTCTGTTAAACAGATTGTTTGATATTAACAAATACTGATATTGAGTATTTATGCGCTTTTGAACTAAATCACAGTAGCGTCTGTCAGTGAGGAATGTACGCTAGGGGTGTAAGAAAATATCGATACACGTGAGTATCGCGATATTTTGTTTAGTGATACTGTATCGATTCTCAAAAACTCAATATCGATATTTAAAAAAAAAATTTATACAAGATTCATGGCCATTGTTTCGTTTTGAGTATATATCCCGACCGCTAGATAGCACTCTTCTTACCTCTGAACTTAAACAGTGACAATGTGTGTGTTCCGCTCCTGCAAGGTTTGTCCAGTCCCGCCTGCTCCCGAAAATATTCTAATATTACATATAATTTTCGAGTATCAGGGAGCCGCTATCAATGGGGAGTATTGAAATCTCTTTTGAATGAGCGCTTGCGCTGTTCACTTTCACTTTCAATTTCGCGATCACGCGCATTCTGAGTAAAGGGAGCGCATCTTACGATATAAGATATTTGTCAGTGAGCTCCAGATCTGTTGAGTAGCAAAAACTCCACCATGGTCTTGTAGGTCATCCCTCCTCTCGACCCATGATCAGTCAAATCTGACTCCTGCAAGCACCTATTGTACCCCCTTTACTCGTACTGCACAAAAAGTGGTTCAATAGCGTTGAATGTTACAGGGGCAGATTAATGCAAATGCAGATCCCACTGTGTTCTGGTTAATAAAAAGACTCATGGCTGTATTCGATCAAAAGGGTGCTTCTACTAAATACTGAGCAAAGGGTCTGAATACTTAGGACCATGTGTTATTTCAGTTTTTCTTTTTTAATAAATCTGCAAAAATGTCAACAATTCTGTGTTTTTCTGTCAATATGGGGTGCTGTGTGTACATTAATGAGGAAAAAAAATTAACTTAAATGATTTTAGCAAATGGCTGCAATATAACAAAGAGTGAAAAATTTAAGGGGGTCTGAATACTTTCCGTACCCACTGTATATATATAGAACTAGGATTGCGTTCAAACGTGGCCAAGAGAGCGCGTGATTCCGCCTATCTATCCTGCCTTCACTAACTGCAAGTTAATCAATAACGAATTGTGGTTGGATAGTAATTTTTATCTTGACTCACCTATCATGTCTTTGTTCAGTCATTCCTGTAACTCGAGGGCCAGCTGATGAAGCCAGAGCTGCACCTGCAAAAGAGAGCGGGTTACACCAGAGCACAACCATCAAGAGTCCACACCAATGTCAAATGTCAAGGGCTGTCAAAACGGCATTCGAATTTTGTACTTAAATATGATCAATATTCGAATTATATTCTAATTTAAAAGGCATAATTTCAGTTAGGGTGAAAAAAAGCATTTGGCTTCTCTCCTGAGGCCACAAGAGGGCGCATCGAGCAAAACATTACTAATGCACGTTTATTCAAAGCAATAAAATAACACGACTATCTTTGAAAAAGGTGCATAATGTTTAAAATACCATATATAATTAATTAAGTTGCTTAAACAATCAGAAACAAAACAGCATCATGTACGTATGTATAGTTTGATACAAAGATCCGAAAACCAATCACAAAGAGTACTTTTTTCGTTTAAAAACATGAGATGCAGTGGGATGAGGAAAAACCGGCATAAAGTCTCGAGACATGTTTTTTAAAAGTTGAACTTACATTCATTTTACATGGCTTTCTAAACATGTGGCTCTCTTGTGCGAGATGCGAGTGCAACGCTGATAGATGTCCCTCTAGAAATATAGCCATAAATATGCGTTCTGCGTGAACGGCTTGGTTTCAGTTTCTCCGCATTGATGTTCTCTTTTTCCGCAGTATTTTGAATGAACAACGTAGCAGCGCCGCATCTATTAGGTTCTAAAAGAACCTAATAGATGGCAACGATGTGCCACTGATAAAGCTGCCTGACGCACTCCTAAAATTTTAATGCAACGTTTTTGCATTCAAATGTGGATTTTTATTTTAAATTCCTTTTTTTTTGACAGCCCTACCATGTACCTGCTGTTCTGTAGCCAAACAGGTGTTTCCTGGGAAGTTCTTACTGCAGCCACTGGATTTGGGGAGCTGTCGAGGCTCGGCACAAGCCATACAGCCACGACCTGAGGAACAGAGACGAAATGAGCAACTCTACCCGAGAAACATTTACTACAGAACTTTCCATGTCTTTTTAAGATTGTACTGATTTTGATGAATTTTTCAGGTCTGAATCTGTCTAAGGCACATCTTCCACTGGCAGGTTTTTCTGGTTCTCACCCGGTCTTCTCTCCGAAGTGCTGCTCCAGCTGGATCTTGCTGAACTGAGTGAGATCTCCGATGTTTTCCACTCGCAGAGTCTCCCGCTCATTCTCACTGTTATGGGATACTATGAGAATCAAGTGTAATATCATAGTACAAGATCTACTTACATTTTACTGATGGGAAGGGTGCTGAAGAGTTCTGGAATGGATCCCAGTGGCAAAACTGTTTGGCGATTAGGCTTGTTTAAGCCACATGCTAGTTTGGCTACCAAAATACAATTTGGATTGACCTTGCTAGTGTTGACGATGGCATCCTCTGATTCATGTGAAGATTTGATTCATGTCAATTCCAGCGATAGTTCACTAAGCAAGAACACAGACCATGTTTTGGAGAAATTCTTCACTGATGTGGTCATGTGTGTGTTGTACTAGCATTAAATCGTAACGTCACATTTATCTCTGAAAAGAACATTCTATAATATTTTAAACATTCTAAAAAAATCACTCTAAAGAGGAGCATTTTGATAAATACGTATTGTATTACATATTCATCAAATTTGTAACCAGTTTATGTATCTTTAAATAAATCTCTCATTAAAAGAAGTTATAACAGTCACGGTTTGCATGTTTATATTTCAATAAGAAGTAAGGCATAATTATATAATTACATACAAGAACTACCTCATGCACAATTTAAATGTTTCTTATACAGCTGTTTTTGAGTGTTGATTATTATATCTAATACCAGTTGGATTTGAACATCTGCCCGAGTTGTTAATTTTAACTTTTAATATTATATTAATGTACCAAATGACAGAGATCCCTGTGTAGTTTACAACTTCTGCTGCTCTGCAGACACCAACACACCGCTATTAGTTTTTAAACAGCCGATACCGATATCTTAGAGAGCAGGGGGCCGATATATCATTTTTATTTATTCTAAATAACATTTAAGAAATTTGAAATAATTTGAAAACGATAAATGTGTAAAATAAACATACTTGTACTCAGGATGAAAACTACTTGATTCTGTAATCCTATTACAGTATTCTTCACAAATAAAGAAATATTTCAAATTAAAACGGCAAGCAGCGTTGAAAGGGCCCTCGCACCCGCTGGCTTTAGGAAAACGGTGAGCAATGTGCATTTAAAGTGGTAGATATAGGAGGAATATGTCAAAGTCATTACTATAACTGCATATTGGCATGCACATGTGTTCAGGCCAGGACTCTTATCAAGCATGTGAAGTTTGGTGCAGATCAGACATGGCATGTTTAAGCTAGTGTAAAACAAGTCATGATTATAACAGAAGATTGGCCCTTAGATGTGTTCAGGCCAGGACTTTTGAATATAATGTAACTTAGGAAATAAACTACTAGGAAAAAATACTGCATACTGGTTGAGCAACAAATCATGCAAAAAATACATTACAAAAATAAGGTTTGATGACACAATGAATTATGCATAATTACATGCTAAGCCAAACCCTAACCATATAGTAAGTGCATGTAGTTCATTAATATTACTCTACCACAGACCAGTTTTGTTAGTGAAGGAAGATTTTCGAAGCGCAGTGCATGTCAAAAGAAAGGCAGACTGCCACATGCAGTGCCTCATTTGGATGTGTCTGAAGTCTTGGAGCTCGACTTCCCTACGATTCTCCTACAAATGGGCCTTGAGCTTGTTTGGAGGTTCTAGCAGGGGAGCGCAGCTACTTCTATACCGACGCAGGTCCGCGGGGATCGTCCTCTTCCACCGAGCGCGGAGCTTCGGGAGGGACACACATGGAGCGGTGAGGGAGGAAGGGGACACCCGCCTAGCCAGCCAGATCAGCCGAATCAACCCTAGCGATCAATGGGGTGACAGATGTCGCAGCCAGATCGCCCTCACATCCGAGAGCTCACGGCCGCTCGCGAGGCTTATATACCGCGGCCTCCAGCTGTGCTTCTCTTCGACGGTAACCGCACATTCACGTGCTGCTTTCACGGGTTTGTTACACTTACGCGATTGATTATAGATGTGTGCAAGACGACACGAATGCGATTTTTGTATTCGTTCGCTTATTATAGTATTTTAAAACGTAAACAGATGGTATTTCCCACAATGCTTTGCTGCCACGCGCAGCGCCGCCATTGGCGTACGTAATAGTGACGTAAACTGAATGCCACCGTTACAAAGCGTTAATGAAGACGGACCGATTTAATTTACACGATCAAATATCGATGTTTGAAACACGACACGAATGCGAATCGTGTATTAATTCATTTATTATACTCGTTTAAAACTAAAACAGTTGGTATTTCCCACAATGCGTTGCTGCCATGTATGGACAGATTTAACTGCATACTTTGTACATTTTGTGCTCTACTTACAGAAACTTTTTTTTTTTCATTTGATTTTGAGTTGTTCTTATTCAACCAGTTTTTGGTCAGATTTCTGCTCGTTCGTCAGACATCATAATATCACGCCTAGCTTTCAACTTTGTTTTCAAAATATATATTTAGGTTATATATTTTTCACTTATGGCATGTCGTTAAGCAATATTATCTGATTAATTTGCTGGCAGAGTTTAGTATATAGCCTACATAAGATAAATGCAAAAATGTCTAATTTTAAGTTAAGCAGCACCTCAACTCTATTCATAATCTGATAAACAAGAAAGCTGTCAAATGTAATGTATAAACATTCCCATGTTTTTATTTATGTATTTTTTCATTGTAATTTCATATCTTTCCCCCCTTGTCACGGACACTACGTCCATGTTTTTATACAGTCTATGGTTATAACACAATAAATATATGCATAGTGAATCTTTCATAATGTCTACAATTCGTGTGTTATAATGAGAGGATTCGTGAACACACAAATCTCTGCTCCAGGGTCTCACGGGCGCAGGTCTCTAATCCACTGGCTCTTGACTCGACAGCGTGTGTGCTACATCCTTTTTACAATCTCTAGATTATAAATCACTGCATTCTGTCAGCAATGTAACGTGGCAGTAACGTATAGAGACCTCGGCTTGTAACTATACTCTCATTACTATTTTGAAAATTATAACGCATTAAATTACTCCATTACTAAAAAAGTAATCAAATTACAGTAACGCGTTACTGCACAACACTGTAAATGGGTTTAGATTTATCGTGGTATTGTGTCGTCTTTACAGTTTGAGGAAGTGTTTTTGACTAAACGGGAGGAGTATGAAAAACTGCTGAGTGGTAATGGTAAATATTCAGTAAATCCCTCATCTCGTATTGTTTTATAGTCCTGTATAATAATAATATTCATATTTTTGAATGCAGATGGGGCCCTGATGTTTCAGCAGGTGCCTTTGGTTGAAATAGACGGGATGCAGCTCATGCAGTCAAAGGCTATCTTGAATTACATCGCTGGAAAATACAATCTATATGGAAAAGACCTTAAAGAACGGGCTATGTAAAAGTCTACTTTTTATGAAAAGTGTTATGGTTCCAAGTGGCTTTGCTTTTCCACCACACCTAAGCAATTCGGTAACACTTTACTTGAAGGGGTGTGCATAAGACTGACATGACACCTACATAATCATGACGTGACACCTACATAATCATGACATGACACCTTCATATTCATGACATGTGTCATGTCTTGATTATGTAGATGTCATGTCAGTCTTATGCACACCCCTTCAAGTAAAGTGTAACCAGCAATTCTAACTGAATACATGTGTTTTTGTCCTGAAGGATCGACATGTATTCAGAAGGAGTCATTGATTTAATGGATTTGGTTATGATGTATCCGCTCACACCACCTGAAAACAAACAGAAATACCTCAGTAATATAGAGCAAAAGGCCAAAGATCGCATTCTTCCTGTGTTTGAAAAGGTACAGTCGACGCTTTAAAAGAAACACTATTCATGCTCCCATTTTGAGGCATGATTATCCACATTGGATACATGAAACTATGGATTGTGTCTTTAGGGTCTTGCAAACTCTCAGTTCCTTGTGGGAAACCAGCTGAGCCGTGCTGACATTCACCTTCTTGAAGTCACTCTGATGCTGCAGGAGTTACTCCCTACAATACTTGCAAGCTTTCCCAAAATCCAGGTGCTTCACAGTTTCTCACACAGACACCCAACCCCAAAATTCCTTAACGAAACCATTTTTTTCAACATGATTTTGTAGAGTTAGTTTATTACAATAACATCCTTAAACATTGGCATATGAAAAACAGCAATAATTGAGTCATGTCACGTTTCACTGACTGTATTTGATGATTACAATAAATACAACTTGTCAGATATACAGTGAGAGTAGTGTGGTCTGGTTTAGTGACGCAGTGAGTTCAGCCCACGATTCAAAGCCATAATTCCTGTGATCCAAAAAAAAAGCGGTACACTTTGCTTTGCTGTTGTATTACCTGCATCTGTAATTTATCCAAGCATTGTGATTTTGAATCTTGTAAAACCTTTCATTTGTTTTGCAGGCGTTTCAAGAGAAAATGAAGGCCTTGCCGATAATCGGCAAGTTCCTCCAGCCGGGCAGCGCAAGAAAACCTCCACCCGATGGAGCGTATGTGAAAACCGTGAAGGAGGTGTTGAGCCACCTTTTCAAATAGAAGGCTTGAGGTTTTACACTGATCTGAATGCATTAACAGTGAATTCAAAACCATTAGATGACGTCAATCACTAATTAATTTACAAACGTATTGATTAAAGCTGAGACTCTAAAATGGACAGATTTATTTGGAATGCACAAGATACAATTTGGTGATGATGCTGTGAAATGAACATTGCAACTGTCCAGTAGATGTTGTGAGAGTGTGGTCCGTCCACGAGCTCTTAGAAGATCAAAAGTCGCAAAACCATGAGGAGGCTGAAAACAGAAGACAAACCGTCAGAATAATCACATCTGCACCCGTCAATGTGAATCACCATGTATTTGCTCTAGTAACAATACTGCTGCTTCCTTCTATGAACTGCTTTATTGGAGCAGATCAATAAAAATGATTTAATATAACCCTCCTTGTGTTCATGAAAACGTGACTGAAATATTTTTAACTAGACTTTCACTGCATTTGACTTCTTGCATCAGACATGGCTCTGCTTGGCTATTTGGGTGAAATTATGTTCTTCTGATTTTGATAAAGAAATCGCCCCCACTAAACAGTCCCAGAGCAAATACATAAACGTTGAATATCATCAAGGCTGAAAAACGCTTTCGCTCTGTTAGCTTTATAAATCTTAAAGGGGTCATATGATGCTTTTTTAAAGATCATTATTTTGTGTATTTGGTGTAACAGAATATGTTGACATGCTTTAATGTTCAAAAAACACATTCTTTTTCAAATACTGTACATTATTGTAGGTCCTCTATGGCCGCCTCTCTCAAACGCTTCGTTTTCTACAAAGTCCCTCCTTCCGACAAGCGCAGTCTGCTCTGATTGGCCAGCTGACCCAGTGCATTGTGATTGGCTGAACACTGCAAGTACGCGTGGGAAATGTAACGCCCCTTACCATAATAGCTTCAGCTTCCAAAGTAAATATCAAGACAGTTAATAATGTTGTTAGTTTTACCATCAGTTCAAGCTTGAAAGGGCAACAGAGTCGTGTGACAGACACAGTGATGATGCAGTACACAAGCCGCGGTTAAGACAGCTGACGTGCTATGTTGTCAGATATACAGTGAGAGTAGTGTGGTCTGGTTTAGTGACGCAGTGAGTTCAGCCCACGATTCAAAGCCATAATTCCTGTGATCCAAAAAAAAAGCGGTACACTTTGCTTTGCTGTTGTATTACCTGCATCTGTAATTTATCCAAGCATTGTGATTTTGAATCTTGTAAAACCTTTCATTTGTTTTGCAGGCGTTTCAAGAGAAAATGAAGGCCTTGCCGATAATCGGCAAGTTCCTCCAGCCGGGCAGCGCAAGAAAACCTCCACCCGATGGAGCGTATGTGAAAACCGTGAAGGAGGTGTTGAGCCACCTTTTCAAATAGAAGGCTTGAGGTTTTACACTGATCTGAATGCATTAACAGTGAATTCAAAACCATTAGATGACGTCAATCACTAATTAATTTACAAACGTATTGATTAAAGCTGAGACTCTAAAATGGACAGATTTATTTGAAGATACAAAGATACAATTTGGTGATGATGCTGTGAAATGAACATTGCAACTGTCCAGTAGATGTTGTGAGAGTGTGGTGAGCTCTTAGGCTCTTAGAAGATCAAAAGTCGCAAAACCATGAGGAGGCTGAAAACAGAAGACAAACCGTCAGAATAATCACATCTGCACCCGTCAATGTGAATCAGCATGTATTTGCTCTAGTAACAATACTGCTGCTTCCTTCTATGAACTGCTTTATTGGAGCAGATCAATAAAAATGATTTAATATAACCCTCCTTGTGTTCATGAAAACGTGACTGAAATATTTTTAACTAGACTTTCACTGCATTTGACTTCTTGCATCAGACATGGCTCTGCTTGGCTATTTGGGTGAAATTATGTTCTTCTGATTTTGATAAAGAAATCGCCCCCACTAAACAGTCCCAGAGCAAATACATAAACGTTGAATATCATCAAGGCTGAAAAACGCTTTCGCTCTGTTAGCTTTATAAATCTTAAAGGGGTCATATGATGCTTTTTTAAAGATCATTATTTTGTGTATTTGGTGTAACAGAATATGTTGACATGCTTTAATGTTCAAAAAACACATTCTTTTTCTGTACATTATTTTAGGTCCTCTATGGCCGCCTCTCTCAAACGCTTCGTTTTCTACAAAGTCCCTCCTTCCGACAAGCGCAGTCTGCTCTGATTGGCCAGCTGACCCAGTGCATTGTGATTGGCTGAACACTGCAAGTACGCGTGGGAAATGTAACGCCCCTTACCATAATAGCTTCAGCTTCCAAAGTAAATATCAAGACAGTTAATAATGTTGTTAGTTTTACCATCTTTCCCAGATTTCCTGAACCTCATTCCCATCACAACAGCCAGAACACCGGCGGCGACTAGAGTCATGAAAAAGTAAGTTTGAAGCTAATATATGCTGTATTTCTAAAGGGTGGACATTAGTGATTTTATTTGTATACTTACTCAGAGAGGTCCAGTAATCGTGCGGATCATTTGTTATTTTATATGCTCCATATGCAGACACACTTCCAAAGAAGAGTCCGGCAATTAACGACACCACACTTCCTGCAGAAGTCAGGGATTATATTAAATATCTCCACCAATCCCTTACAGTAAAGCACAGCGATGTTATGGGATGAATATAGAGTGCAGACATAGTACATCAGTTATATTACCATGGTAGCATGTTCAAAAATATAGTAATAGCATAGTACTTTTTTGTTAGCTATACAATACAAATGTGAAAGGTGCATGCTTAAATCTCTATTAGAACCATGAAAAGTCGACAAAAAACTTACATTTGGATTTACAAACCTATTAGAAATTAGATTTTTTTTAAATTGATCAATACATATAATTTTCTATCATCTGCACACGTTCCTTTTACACCACAGTGAAGAAATACCTTTTCTTTTATAGCCCATGAAGCCTCCCAGAGCAAGAGCTGCAGCATAGGCGAAGCCCCACCAGTCCACTGCCATTCTGTGCTAGAAACCATTCAACAGTGAGGGCGTATTATAACATATACACGCTACAGTGCATACACAAGAACACATTATTACACATTACAACAAACCGAACACACACATTCAGCAATGCCTTTACCAAATATCGCGAGTGAACCGCGGGTATTTATAGTGAAATCGCTGGAAAGAGCGGACAGAAGTCGTGCATGAGCTGGACTGATACGCAGCAGCAGTCTGGTCTGGTCAGGTCTGGTCTGATCTGATCTGATCTGTGCTGAAGTTCATAACAAGGAGCTAACGACACGATGACGCCAGAGCGAGGAAGTGCATCAAGAGGCTTGTTTGAGATGCGCCTCTATGGAGCGCCTTTCGTGCCAAAAGTCATCAAACACATCCAGCGCTCTGCAAATAAACACAATTTGCTTTGCAAAGACAAACTCGACTTTCAAACAAACGCAAAGTGATTTGCAAATACAAAACTCTATTTGAGAGAAAATGCGGAGGTATGGACAAATATACTGTGTATTGTGTGTTACAACTGTGAGACTCGTTTGACTTTTTATGAGGAAACTTGGCTTGATTTTCTCACAAATGCAACTTTCTATTCCAAAAACAGCAGACGCCGCTGTCGGCCAATTTACGCTAGTCTCCCGAGACCCGAAACACCTGTTTACCTTTTCAATATGAGTGGGGAACAGGAGAGTTTCTGTCTTACTATATCTATAATTAACCATATTGATGTTTTAACAAAGCGACCGTACTACAATGTCAGTGAAATTCACAATAAGTGCTTGTTTACATGATTGATTAGTTCAAAAATCAGTAGTGACATGGCTAAACATTTAACTAGGCAGTCTCTCCTTATAAAAACTGATCAATTTCATTACTTCTCCATACCTCTTATCCTCTGTTGGATCTCGGGATATAGAATATATACATATGTTGATACAATTGTTCAACATAAATACAAGTGACAAAGCCAGATTTTGGTCAAGTTGTTTATTTTCATTGAGCTGCTTTCGCCATTGTGTTGTTTCAAGCTGAAAAGCATAAAATTGTGCTTCATTTTAGATTAGAGCAGATATGGCAGTTCATAACACAGCAAGCGTTTTCCATTCAAATATGTTTTTAACAATATAAATTTTAACATTTACCTCCACTATTACCCAGTCTGTACTATAGGGTCCATGTCCCAAAGTCCCAGAATGCCGTGCGTTGCTGACGTCATGTTCCCATTCTCTATAGAGTGGTGGAACTATGATGTCACTTTGTAGGCAAAAACCCGGAAGCGAGTTAGCATTTTAGCACTTCTTGTTCCATCATCCCAGAGTCAATAGCTGTGTCTCATTTAGAAGGCTGCGCCCTCCGGAAGCTCCAAACGAATCTCTAGTGCGCAGACTCTGGCTCCAAACGAATCTCTACTGCGCAGACTCTGGCTCCAAATGAATCACTAGTGCGCAGACTCTGGCTCCAAACGAATCTCTACTGCGCAGACTCTGGCTCCAAACGAATCACTAGTGCACAGACTCTGGCTCCAAACTAATCACTAGTGCGCAGACTCTGGCGGTTGATTGCGATTTCACTTTTTTAACGTTAGTTAGTGTGTAATGTTGCTGTTTGAGCATAAACAATATCTGCAAAGTTACGAAGCTAAAAGTTCATTGCAAACTGAGATATCGTCTTTTAAAATTCTGGCAGTTTAATGCCTACAAAAACAACTGGTAGGGACTATAACGAGTTACTTCCCGGGTTCGTGACATCACAAACCCAGATAAACCCCGCCCTCTGGAAAAGGCAGCAAAGGGGGCGAGGCCATGCTGCGCTGCTTTAGAGAAGAGGAAGAGAAAACTAGAGGTGCACGTAAAAATCTATTCATATATGAATCATGATTCTGTCTTCTAACGATTCTAATGGATTCACAAGATTCAAAATCAATGTTCAAAAGCAGCGGTTCTTAATACTGTTCCTCTCGTTCCCCGCTCTGTATCTCTCTCTCTCTCGCTCTGCATCTCTCTCTCTCTCTCTGCATCTCTCTCTCTCTCTCTCTCTCTCTCTCTGCATCTCTCTCTCTCGCTCTCTCTCGCTCTCTCTCTCTCTCGCTCTGCATCTCTCTCTCTCGCTCTCATTCAGCTCAGCTCCAACAATGAACTGTTACAATTATACACTTATTTTCACATAGCTATGAGAAGCATTATACATACGTGCAGTTGCCGTACTGTATTAAAGCTTTCATCAGGATAAAACCGTATATTAAAATCTCATCTAAAAGCATTTACAAATAACAGCATATCTAAAAGTATGAGACAACAACAAACAAAAAACAGGCCTACCATTAAAAGCAGTGCTTGCACAGGTTCTGTGCGATCCTCTTCACTAATATCCTCTGCTTCTCAATCGGGCTCAAACTGGCAGTGGTGGACGAAGTACACAAATCAAGTACTTGAGTAAAAGTACAGATCCATATAATAAAATATTACTCCAGTAAAAGTATAATGTAGTGAAGTAAAAGTTACTCAAAATAAAACTACTCCAGTAAAGTACAGATACTTGAAAAATGTACTTAAGTACAGTAACGAAGTAAAGCTACTCTGTTACTGCCCACCACTGCAAACTGGTAAGCGATATTAACAATGCCGTTGTTTACACTACAACTGGAGCACATGCCGCTGAGGTGAGGGGCGGGACATTTAGACGCACGCTAGAGGCGGTTTAGCCAATCACAACACACTGGGCTAACTAACCAATCAGAGCCCATCACCTATTTCTGAGGGCGGGGCTTCATAAAAGCAGGAAATGATCAGCACATTTCTCAGAGAAGGGAGAAAGTGGTGTGGAATAAAGGTAAATTATATGAAAAATTATGCGTTTTTTTTAAACGAAGTATTAACACATGTTAGACTGCGCCCCATAAACGCAATCAAGCCTAGAAAATAACCAGTCAACCACCCCTTTAAAATGAAATAATACTCTAAATAAGAAATAAAAACTGCCAGCAGGTGGCGGTAAATGTCTTTATGTCTTTCTTCATTCATTAGATTTGTTCAAACAGCTGATTCATTTAGGAATTAAGTAAACGGCTCTCTCTATAAATGGGGGTTTGAATCATTGGTTCACACGATTCGTTCAAAACATGGATTCATTCAGAAACTAAACACCGCTGTGCTCACAGACGCACAACAATTCTGCTGTGGCTTTAGGTAATATTTTTGTTGACAAACCTGAGCAAAAACAGACAATAATGTGTTTAAAATATAAAACAATATTAACTTCTTATTTACTGAACTGGTATGAAATCACATTTGCACTCGTTATATGCGGGACAAAATCAGTACTCTTGTGATTGCTCTCTTACTGATCGTGTGATATTGCTTATAATATGATAGAAATTAGATAAAAACTCATATTTGCACATAATATACCTGTACATACAAAACTGTCTATTGTAATATACCTGCACATACAATTCTCGATTTGTATATTTTTTTATTCTTTATTTTACTTGTTCTATTTTTTTATTTATTTTTATTTTTATTATCTGTGTTTTTTGTTCTGTCACTGTCATTCTGTTACACTGTGGAAGCTTCTGTCACGAAAACAAATTCCTCGTATGTGTAAACATACCTGGCAATAAAGCTCATTCTGATTCTGATTCTTTAAAAAAATCTTTAAAGGGATAGTTCACCCCAATACACATGAACAAAAACATGGATTTTTTTAATATTCTCAATTGAATGAAATAAAAATAAAATGCATAAAAGGACATTTACCTTTTTCTTTTTTTTACAATTCTCAATTAACAATTCTAAAAAGTTAAAATTTAATTAGATTAATAACTCAAGACTAGTCTGAGCAGTTATGCAACCAGCATGTGAATCAGCACTGCATGTGTGCAGCTGATAAGTATTCGATAGGCCTTGTCACATCACCTTTTACATTAGCTTTGAGAGTCAAATGTTAGATGAACAGTAAAACATGTGTTCAGCAACAAAAATGTTTATAGTGATCATGAGGTTTATAGTGAAAGTGAGAACCTTACCACAAACATTCATAAGGACATTGTAGGAAATCTATATGAATCAAGCCGTTTACTTTCACATCTTTTTAGACTTGAGGCTTTAACATTTTGGTTGCATGGATTAACAAATTATGAAGCCATTTTATAACAGTCAGCATGAAATGAAAATTCACTCATTCCTGTCGTGTTTAGCTCACAGGGGTTTGCAGGGCACTGTTCTCAGTCTGCTTTGAAATCATATTTACTGTGAAAAATGCTATACCAGTAAATCTGAATTGATTTAGATAGGTTTCTTTTTCAGGGTTATGCATATAGCTACTCTGAAAAAGATATGCTGTCTCATTACGAAATTAACATTTTCCGATGTAATTTTGGAAACAATGCATCTTTATAATACAACACTTTTTGGGGGGAACAGGAACATAATATTTTACTAGTATTAAGAACAGAACTCTAAAATAGAGCTTTTTGCCAAAGTTGACGGCAAGGGTTAAAATCAAAGCTGAAAATAATCCTATGGTTTTTAATATAGAAAATAAAGCACTCAAGAGAACGTTATCAGATGCAAACCAACAGATCATGAATGTTTTTTTCTTCTTCTTCTTCTATGCATCGCTTACCATTTGTACTATCAATATGCAAATGTGCGTTTTCAAGAAAATCCATTTTGCTCGAGTGTCCCATAAGGACAACCTGCAGTTCTCAAACTGACAAAAACACTCTGAAAGAAAGACAACACTGACAGGGTTAACATATTTAATCTTGAGAAGGAATATAAAAAGAACAGCAGAATGAAAGATGCAACTGGAGAAAACAAAAACAGGCTAATTTTGGCATGGCAGAGAAGACGTCTCAGTCTTTCCTGAGAGGCATGATCTCCTCTCGAACGCCTTCCTTGGTGATGATGCAGATCTTGAGGGCATCTCCGGTGTAGACGTCCCTCTCAGCGGCCGAGATGAACACATCCTTCACCAGCTGCACTGCCTTCTCCAGGGTCAGGGGAACCTGCTCCACGTTCTCCATGTTCTTGAACCCAATCTGAGCACAACAGAAACTCATTTAAGACTTCAAGATTTAGCTCCGTAACACCAGTCAAACACATTTGCTCTGGTTATACAGAGTGATAACAGAGTTTGAACATTTAGCTTAAAGTATACTTCGTTTTTGTATGTGCATGTAAGCGTATGCATGCAGTGTCTGTGCTATTTTTCTCTAGACGTTATAAGTGCTAAAATATCTTTGTACTCGTTTAAACTAAAGTTGTCTCTCTCATAACCCTCTCACACAAGGGCTTGTCAATGCAGCTGTCTGTTATTGTTGTTCCATCTCTTTGGTTTCAT